AGGTTATGTGCATCAAACGCCAAACCGTATCGCATTTCAGGAGGTTAAATGTTACTGTTTTAAAACCCCAAAAGGGCGGGAAGATATATAAAATTTAAATTGTTATTTCGGTTGTATCAAATCTAAAGCTCAGAACTTTTTTGTACACCTAATATATATATATATCCAAAAATATTAATAAATTTTTTTAAATATGTGATATAAAAAAGTGTAGTTATTTTGCAATGAGTTGATTTTAATTTTTCAAACTCTAATAATTAAATGGATGCAATAGATTTCTGTAATTAGACGTCAAATTCGCGGTATTTTAAATCTTTTGGAATAAAAGTGATTTTTAATTATAAAAAACATTTTAATTCTAGCAATTAAAGTCTTTGGAAGTATTCTTTTTTTATCGAATTTTAAACTTATATTAAGACGTTTTACTGCGACTTTATTCGGATTCTTTTCCGTTGAAGAAAATAAATGTTGCAGTCATTGAGCTTAGATCTTTTTCATCGAAGAAAAGCGATAACGTTAATGGAATCGAAGCCGACTTAAAATCTTTGTGGAAATGTCGACGAGCCCTCTCGACGTATTTAATGGTTTAGGACCTTGATAAAATTCAAAGTGCGTTACGGTATTTCCTTCATCTTTCTAGAATCTAGACTATTATAAATTATAACAAGAATAAAAAAATTGCAAGAATAAAAAAATTCACATTTATCTTATTTGCATTTTTGTATTATGTAAAAAAAACTCATTATTTTTCATTTCGAATTTATTTAAGATTGCAATGAACTGTAATTATGATTATAAACTACAACTAGGCAATTAGAATAAAATACTTTGTAAACAATAAAAAAGAAAAAGTGTGCATTGTCTTGTTAAGTAACAAACTTATATCATCGAGCTGTCCAAAGGATTAATTTATTTCCGAATGACGAAGTTCATTTGTGTGGGTTTAGGAAAATTCCAGTAGTCGTGAATCGAGACGTTCGTTAAATGCAAGAAATCGAGAGCGTATCTCCAAGATAGTCGCAACTTTATTCTGGAGCTCCTTTTACAACGTCTTTTCGCATATTTAGAGATTATTTGCAATTAAAAACATATTCTATTAAAATAAAATTTATTTCTTATAATTAAATTAATCCATAATTAACAAGTGCACTACATTATACACTACACATGTTCAATCTATTTTATTAAAAAATGATCTTTAGATTATAAATTGGATTAATCTATTAATAAAATATTATTCAGTGGATATAGACCATCTAATATAAATATTAATTAATAGATATTTATTCATTAGTGATCAATCACTCATTGTTCCATTTGCTTTACGTACGAGATGAAGACAGAAAAAGAGAAAGGCATGTGGATGCGCATGTAAATCGATCATGTCCGAGACAAGCAGACGGAATAAAGATGGAGGGGGCGGATCGCGGCGATAACAAGTGCAAAAATGATTGAAACCCCGGCATGTGGCCTGCCATAAATACCTATGTTTCGTGAAATGCAAAAACACGCACAACACTCCAGAGGCAGAGAGGAAAAGAGAGAAACGGGGCACGTGCGTACGAATCGATCGCTTGCAAGAGACAGGCGGATGAGATAGGGACACAGAGGGATGGGACCCCGTGCTAAATTAAAGGGCGTCGCGGCGGACACGAAGGCGGATGTGCCTCGAGAGTAAAACAGAACTGCGTGAGGGAGGAGGGATTGAGATAGGTGACGGACTCGCTGCGTGAGGTAGGTGTGTGTGTGTGAGAGAGAGAGAGAGAGAGAGAGAGAGAGAGAGAGAGAGAGAGAACGAAGGGTGGTTCCGCGGATCAAAGCGCGTGGCTCTGTTCTCGGTTGACGGCGATAGAGATGGAAAGTGAGATTCGCGGTGAATTTCAATGTGTTGCGCGATTCGTGCTCGGAAAGCTATTTTCGGGGCCCGTGGGACGAGACGATGGGAGTTGACGTAGGCGACGACGAGCTCGACGAGCTGATGGAAATTTGCAGGTGTAGTGCGAGTGTTTTAAAAATTTTTTTTTGTTTTTTAATTATTTCATTGTTCACCAAACTTTATTTTGAATATATGTTTATTACGAGAATAAACTATTAAAAATCAAATATGTATAACGAAAAAATGTGGATAAAAATAAATCAATTTTTGTTAAAGTGTAATGTAGCAGCTATTTAAAAATTGTATCAAGCATACAATTCTTATTTTTATATTTTTATTTTTGTAAAACTCTTTGATTTATTTAAAACTAATAGTTTTATGAATAAAGGCGTCGTAAATTGCGGTGCGATTGACTCGCGCGATCTGTAGATCCGGATTCAATTCTACCTATGCCCACATACGCAATTTTTCGCATTTAAGGAGGCAAAAATGGCTTTAACTGGTGATTAAGACACCATTGATTACCAATGCCCGTCGTTCGAATTTAGCATTAAACTGTAGGTTCCATTATTAGTAGATATTGTGTATCCTAATACACAACTGTATATTAAAACACTGCTAGCAGATATAAAAAAATCACAGCAGTTTATTTTTCACTACCTATTCGTATCAACGACAACGAATGTTTAAACATTCGTACGCATCTTGAGCTTATTTTGTGCCTGCGTCTCACGTTCCCGTGTAGAAAAGCATGGCGCAGACTTCTTGCATCTACGTTTAAGCTTGCGCTTATGCTCTTGCGCTGCGCCTTTACGCCTTGTCGTGTAGACGAGCCTTTAATATAGACATTTATATTTATAAGTTATACTTATAACTACGGTATAACTTTAGAAAAAAATACTTTTATGATACAACTGAGATTTTTATTAGATTCAATCATGATGTAAGAAGACCTTATATCGAATGATATAATTGCAAATATTTGTTTTAAACATGCTTACAATAACATGATACATTACACGACATTGTACAATGAAGTAGCGCTACGAATTTTGGTTTCGATCCAATATACTTGAGCTAATAATTAAAAAAACTATATTTTAATGCAAAAACTATATTTTAATGCCCATACTATAACAAGTAATCATATGCAGTACAAAACCGAAACTTGTCACCCTTCTACTTTTATTTTTCTCATAATTTGAATCAGAAAGTATAAAGCTTATTCTACAATTGCGTAAGCGTAATTGTAAGTGATTGTAGTTGTAAGAATTGACCAATCACAATTAAGTATTTTTCTCGTATTCGACTATGATTGGTGAATTTTTACAACTACGCTTACGCAATTGTAGAATAGGGAAAAAAAAACACAACTTCGCAAATAAACACAAATTTGCTACTTTACAAACAAAAATTCTTTGCATTAGCAGTGAATTTGTGTTCTTAAAGTAAATTTGTTTGTGAAGCAGAGAATTTGTGATTTTAAAACAGCGAATTTATATTTTTAAAGCAATGAATTTGTGTTTTTAAAACAGTGAATTTGTGTAACTAATGCAGAACGTATATATAGCGCTATATTGAGTCGAGATAACAGATATCTTAATCTCTGAAGTCTCCAACTTTAACGCTTAATATTTCGATTCACGAACCGCCGTTTTTTTTTTTATTTTATTTAGAATCTTTCGTTTTGAGTGAAAACGCGTCGAATGAGATATTTTTATTAAGATTTTACATGGAGTGAGATATTCTAAATAATTACCAAAATATGTTTGGCGTTTCACGGTGATAACTCTTGTCTCCACGCGACATCCATAGACAGAGAGGGCGAAGATTTAGAGAAAGATACCGTCCAACGGCACACACCATGTTATCCCTTCCACTATGATCGGTATTACCGATCGCTATTAGTTTTAGTTTGGACACATTCCGCTATGCGGCGTAGCTTTTGGTCGTGCAGATCGCGCACCAATCAATTGTAAGATTATTTGGCCGCCTCGTCTCGCGCGTGCGTGGTATATCATGTGACAGAGAGCGCAGCCCTGATTGGCCGCTTGAGTTATTTTGAAGATGAGGGGGCGCCGCGTTTTTTGTATAGTCGCCCGGTTCGCTCGGCAGACGTGTATCGTGTAAAATTTAGAATCTCGAGATCGCTTGGGGTGGATATACCTCGGCTCGAGTGTCCGGAGTCGATTTGTATCTGCGCGAAGTTGGTACGAGAGAAGATGGCTTCGGGGACACTAATCCTGTAATCGGAAAACCAAGCAGAGGCATAAGAAGAAGAAGAATATACGAGCGGTTACACGTAAGTACATGTACAAATACAAAATGAGGTCTAATTGTACTGTTGCACTTGGATTTCAATATTGCAACAGTACAATTTTTGGCTGCGTTCCGTTTCACGCATGATGCGCATGATGCAACATTTATTCTTGTTATTCACCAAATATTAAGGATAAATGGTGTATCATGCGCCCCTTTGTAGGAGGGGAGGGGAAGTGAATCGCTTTGCGTGGATAATTTGGCTACATTCCGTTTCACGCATGATGCGCGTGGTACATCATCTATTCTTGTTATTCTCCGAATGTTAAACAAGGACAAATGATGTATCATGCGCATCATACGTGAAACGGAACGGAACGCAGCCATAGAAGTTGTGCGCCTCTTTGTGAGAGGGGTGGGAAGTGAGAGTCGCTTCGCGTGAGAAATTTGATTGCGTTCCGTTTCACGTATGATGCGCATGATACATTATTTATCCTTGTTTAGGATAATGATGCGCGTGAACCGCGTTAAGGATAAATGATGTATTCACGCGCATTATGCGTGAAACGGAACGCAGCCAAATTTTCCACGCGAAGCGACTCACTCCCCCACCCCTCTCACAAAGAGGCGCACGACTTCTATGGCTGCGTTTCGTTCCATTTCACGTATGATGCGTATGATACATTATTAGTCCTTGTTTAACATTCGTTGAATAACAAGAATAAGTGATGTATCACGCGCATGTATGAAACGGAACACAGTCATAGAAAATAAATAATAATAAGTAAAGGGCAAAGTAATAGTCGACACATTTCTTTAAAATTAACCGAAGAATATATTACAATTAACAAGAGGTAAAATTGCGTAAAGCAAAAATAAAATTAAAAATAAGAAAATAATAATAAAAAGTTACAAGTTTCGGCTACTGGATTGAGCTCTCTTCAGACATTAAGATAACGAAAAAATCGTAGTACAAAATCAATTATTGCAAATGATGGCATATTCATTACATTCACAGTTCGGGTGAGTCTTGATGTAGAGTTCGACATTATACAGTCATAGAAGTCGTGTGCCCCCCTTTCCTGCAAAGGGGCGCATGACTTCTATGGCTGTGTTCCGTTCCATTTCACGTATGATGCGTATGATACATTATTTGTCCTTGTTTAACATTCGATGAATAACAAGAATATATTATGTATCACGCGCATCATGTGTGAAACGGAACACAGTCATAGAAAATAAATAATAATAAGTAAAGGGCAAAGTAAGAGTCGACACATTTAAAATTAACCGAAGAATATATTACAATTAACAAGAGGTAAAATTACCTAAAGCAAAAATAAAATAAAAAATAAGAAAATAATAAAAAGTTACAAGTTTCGGCTACCGGATTGAGCCCTCTTCAGACATTAACATAACGAAAAAATCGTAGTACAAAATCAATTATTGCAAATGATGGCATATTCATTACATTCACAGTTCGGGTGAGTCTTGATGTAGAGTTCGACATTATACAGTCATAGAAGTCGTGTACCCCTCCTTTCCTGCAAAGGGACGCATGACTTCTATGGCTGTGTTCCGTTCCGTTTCACGTATGATGCGCATGATACATTATTTGTCCTTGTTTAAGATTCGATGAATAACAAGAATATATGATGTATCACGCGCATCATGTGTGAAACGGAACACAGTCATAGAAAATAAATAATAATAAGTAAAGGGCAAAGTAAGAGTCGACACATTTAAAATTAACCGAAGAATATATTACAATTAACAAGAGGTAAAATTGCATAAAGCAAAAATAAAATTAAAAATAAGAAAATAATAATAAAAAGTTACAAGTTTCGGCTACCGGATTGAGCTCTCTTCAGACATTAACATAACGAAAAAATCGTAGTACAAAATGAATTATCGCAAATGATGGCATATTCATTACGTTCACAGTTCGGGTGAGTCTTGATGTAGAGTTCGACATTATACAGTCATAGAAATCGTGTACCCCTCCCCTCCTGCAAAGGGACCCATGACTTCTATGGCTGTGTTCCCTTCCGTTTCACGTACGAAGCGCATGATGCATCATTTGTCGTTAATTTTATGTTAATAAATATTAATTTAGAATATTTTATTTTTTTCTAGAATGTGGAAGAGAGAGAACAGTAAGACCGAGCTCTGTCCAATATTTTGGATAGCGATCGGTATCTATCATGAATTTGCATTTGCAATTCCTGATTCGCAGCCGATCATGCCGATGTTTATTTAAAAAAAAAAAAAAAAACCAAGGATGCCATATGTGTTTCTATTTGCCACACTATCATTGCGACTGCTTTTATACATCCCAGGACAACTAGCAATCCATTTGCGAGGTATGCATTTATTTTTAGGATTTTTTTAAAGCGTTGTTTATTTTTGATGTTTATAATTTTAATTTATATTTTAATTTGAAATATAATACATAATTTGGCATTTTTTATTAAACTAAATATTTATCAAATTATATATAATAATATGGATAGATCTTTTACGAACTAAATATGTGCAATAATTAAATTTCATATGATTTATCCTTTGAAACTTGCTCCAGATGATCTTTCATGGTAGCTGCCTTGGCCTTGGATTGGCTGCAACGGGTTCGCATAGACAAGACGTTTATGAACAATTAAGATCCAATTTGTATGAAATGACGTGATTGGTGAAGCGACTGGAGTCACTACGGAAATGATTATACTGAGGTCCAATTCAACGCATGTGATCAAAGATAAGTTTAATGCACATTTTTCATAGCATTTTTTTATTCGCATAATTTTTTTTGTATTTACACATGACAAATTTCTGAGATATTTCTAAAAACTTATGGTGCTGTATAGGAATTAGTAATTTTATCAAACTAATTTAACTATTAATAGATTGGATTAAACTTTGTTGTTATTAATGATGATTTTTATGTTTTTACATTCAAAATTGGAACTTTAAAATGGACTTTGTTTGATGCTGCTAGTTTCCCTTTGACCTAACGAACTCTCGTGCGTTGAGATGTAAGGCCGTACTGTCAAAATAGCAAGAATAATCGAAATTGTGAAACCTATCATTTTTATATAAATTGAATTTTAATTGTTCATAAACATCTTGTCTATGCGAACCCATTGCAGCTAATTATGTATTATATTTCAAATTAAAATATAAATTAAACTTTAAAAAGGAAACGAGCATTTAAATGATGTTCATAGATTACGAATGTAAAAACGTAATGATCATCGTTAATAACAGTTCAATGCAATCTATCGATAACTAAATAAGTTTGATAAAATAACTAGTTATTCCAACACAGACCCTTATGCATGTTAAGACCTACAATTGGTGTAAAGAAAAAACTTACTCTTTTAAAAAAAATAAAAAAAAAATGCTAAAACGTACATGCTCATCGAAAAAAACTATTGTACTAAATTATAAAACCCAAATGATACTATCTATTATATTAAATTAAAAGGTAAAATCTATATAGTACTATTTTTGTTACTCTAATAATATGTATCATTTGAATAAAAGATTTGGTATCAAAAACTGGCGCCAAATTAAATCCTATATCAAATTAAATAAAGAATGTAATCCAAGTGATACTATTATATGTTTAATTTTTATACAATGAAATCTAAGTATGTATCTTTGTATTCCTATAGGAGAATTTTTTTTTATTCCAATTCAAACACTATGGTAACATTTAAATTGAACAAGGTAACGTAACTTTGTGATAATGTATTGAAGAAGAATTAAATAACTATTACTTTAACTTTGGATGGAAGAGAAAATTTCTTTGATTGTGATACAATAATTTCTTTTAAAAAGAATTAAAGCCATTTAGAATTGGAAAATCTTCAATAGGAATATAAAGAAATATACTTAGGTTTCATTGTATAAAAATTAAAGATAGTATCACTTGGATATACATTTTTTATTTAGTTTTGTATAAAATTTAACTTGGCGGCACTAGTTGTTGATACCAATTTTTTATGCAAATGTATGTACATTTGTATGATGACAACTCTATATCATTAGAGTTAAATAAATAAGAATAGTACTTGGATTCTACCTTTTAATTTAGCACAATAAAAATAGTATTGGGTACAATAAAGATAGAAAATACTTGAGTTTTACAATTTGATATAATAGTTTTTTCGATGAACACGTTTTTTACATAGCGTCTTTTTTATTTTTCTTAAAAAGTTAAGTTTTTTATCTTTACATACATATCGGTTAAAAATTTTTCATATATGAATATGTATAAATATGTATAAACATACATAAATATTCATAAACATGTATAATCATATATGAAATATGTTCATACATTCCTCTTTCTTTTATAAAATTATTTTTTAGTGTAATAGAAATAATAATAGTAATGTAAATAAAAAATAATTAAAGGGATAATTTTCGCATTGTTTGTTTTAGAAAAAAAAAGTTTAGAAAAAATGTAAAATTGCTTATACATAATTGT